CTCCAAGAAACTTAGAGCGGCGGGGTCTGGATCCATAGTGGAGGATGCTGCTTTGCTTTGTGCAGGCGGTCTGGAGCGTCTGGATTTCGGGGTAAAACTCCTCTTGGACGCGATGGCGACTCTGCATCGAACAAGACGAACTCAAAGAAGAGATGCTAGCGGTAAATATATGTTCGATTACTGCCTGCTAAGCTAAAAGCAGCCTAGCCTAAGCTACCGGCTAATAGCAGCCTAGCTATTGGCCTATCTAGCCTAGCCTTGCAAGAACAAGCTTTATTAAAGTGTATTTTTTGTGATTACAGGAAGCAGTATGCCGTCTTAACAACTCGGAGACTAATTGCAGGCGCTATGAACCGGAGCAAAGGTAAGATTTAAAGAATATGCTTTCATTCTGCGGTAAAAGGCAATGGATACGGATAGACACCGATCATAGCTTTTACATTTTGTTTTCACAGACTACTGTCGCCTCACAATGAGGCGGTGACCTCCTATTTGCTCGGAGCCATAATCAGCAAGTCCAGATTTGCACGATGTTGATAAAGACGACATTGTGTGTAAGTGACTTGTTTTAATGTTTTCTCCTTCCTTGTTACTGTGACTTGCGTTTGATTTTTTATTTATACCACTCTCATTTAATTGTTTTCCAGCTGCCTGTAAGACGTATTTTCAGACGGTACGCAGGAGCTTCAGATATAGGCTGCCAGCCAACACGCTGCGTGCGGAGGCTATCTGCTCGGAGTCGGGCCAGAAGAAAGAGGGTAAGACTTTATTTGGTGACTATTTTTCAGGTGCATTGATAGATGTGTTGTGTCCATACGCAGTGCGCTGATTCATTTTTTTTTTTCAGCTGCTGAAAGCGAGGCAGAGTGTGCTAACAGATGAGGAAGTGGAACTCTGGAAGTCCGCCTTCCTCGGCGGTGTCTCTGGATGGATTGTACGGTCGCCGCCATTTCGTAGGCCGGATCTCACTGAACTCTGTGTTAAGCTGCAGTCCCGGTTAGAAGCGATGCCTTAGTACAGGGCCACGCACAGTAGGCGTCAGCACATTGGACCTGCCTCGGAGGGAATGCTGCCAGTTACCTCCAACCCCGATGAAGCAAACGGACCGTTCACGGACTTTTAATTTTTAGAAACGCATGTGTTTGGATACGCGTTGTATATAGTTGTGTGTGTTTTAATAAAGCTCTTTCTTTGCATAAACAGCTTCCTGCAAATGTTCATTTCCTGTATAAATTCATTCATGTCCTTGATGGTAGCCTAATAATTGTGTAGTAGTGTAGGATAACATAAATACACACCATATGAATGAATAAATATATGAATGAATAAATATATGAATGAATAAATATATATATATGAATAAATATATATATGTAAATATATATATATGCCAACCAATCACGAGCGACTTTACTTGTTTAAAAAGAAGTGGTTCCGTCCAATACTCAGTAAGAAAATTAAAGCCTGGCGTGGCCACGTGTGGTTTTGCTGCCAATCACGAGCGATTTCATTTGTTTGAGAATAGTGGTTTCAGCCAATACTGAGAAGGTTATTCAAGGCAGACCTGGCCAGCCGCGCGGGTTTGCTGCATTCATATGCTAATTAGGGCCATTAGTACAGCTGATCGCTCTCCACATACGTCACGGTGCGTTTTCGACAATTTGTGGCACGACAAACGCGGACAAGCACGGGTTGCAAATTGTCGGAAACTGACGAAAATCAGGCAGATCTGCGGGAGTTTACGGGGGTTTACGGGGATGAAAATCTCACTTTTCATGCAGTGCCTCTTCATACAATGAGAACGTATCGTTGCCTCGGGGCTGGGGGGGTTGAGCGAGTGAGCATCGCTCCTTCACCCCGCCCCCCAAGACAGCGCTCCTTCCTCTGAGGGGGGTGGGGCGCCGATTTATGTTTTCGCGTCCACCTGAAAAATGTGTGGTTGCGCAACTGTGTTCACCCTTATCAACTTCCTTAGAATTTTCACTCCTCCCACTTTCTTAAACGGGGTCTTTTGTGAAGTGCGCATGTTCCAAACGCAAGTTAACAGTGCTGAAAAAAATAATTAAAATATATTTCATTTTATTTTTATTACGAAATGAAATACATATTTTTAAAATTTAAAATAGCACAGCATTTTGAAATAACCTATTAAATAAATAAATATATAAGAGATAAATCACGTTTCTGCCACTTCCGGAGCAGAAAACCGCTGCTCTCTGTCTTACTCAAAGGGAATAAGACACCTCTCAGGTTCTGCCCCCGTTTCCAGGTAAGGACCTGCTCCGATTAAACCCTAATTTACTAATCTACAAAGGAAATGTTTACTTGCAATTTCTGTGGCAATTTGGCTAAAACATTAAGACTTTATTTACTTCATTGTAAGCTACATCGAAATGAGCCGCGATGTTTATTTAAATGCGCTGCTGCTGGTTGCAAAGACACGTTCTTGCGTTATGAAGCGTTGAAGGCTCATTTTTATCGGAAACACAACACCTCTGGTCCTAGTAGCGTCGGAACGGTTGTTACCGACTTTAAATGCTCGTTGGCATTGTGTGACCACCAGTGTCAAACTACTAAGGCTCTAATAGCTCACTTGAAGCATCATATTGTGGAAGGGCGTGCTGTGAATTGTCCTTTCAGAGGATGCAAAAAAGTTTTTCATGTGAAGTCCTCGTTTACTGCCCACATTTCCTGGAAACACAGAGATCTTGCAGATAATATCCATGACTCATACAAATGTTCTGGTTCTCAGTCATTATCTGTTCACAATGATCCAGATAACATCGAGTCGCAAGGAAATGAGATTATTTTACAGACAGCTCCAAATGAAAGTGATAATGATATTACTGAGGATTTCAGTGATCTTTTTTTTAGAAATGTCTCTCTATTTTACTTGAAATTGCAAGGGCAGTTTCTATTACCAGCTTCAACCATCCAGAATATTGTTGAGGAGATACAAAATATACACGGGTTGGGCCAGACATACTGTTTGAGCAAACTTTGGTCACTGCTAAAAAATGAGACACCATTATCAGATGAAGACATCACCAACATTTGTGAGTCTGTCAAGGGATCTGATCTATTCTCTATATGCCATACTGGGCCGATGAGGACAGCACACTCAAGAGTGCAAACCTTCAAAAAAAACTTCAACTATGTTGAGCCTAAGAAAATATTTTTAGGAAGAGATGAAAACAGAACAGATAGGTTTGCCTACTACAGGTGCTGGTCATAAAATTAGAATATCATGAAAAAGTAGATTGATTTCAGTAATTCCATTTAAAAAGTGAAACTTGTATATTATATTCATACATTACATACAAACTCATATATTTCAGATGTTTATTTTGTTTAATTTTGATGATTACAAATGACAACAAATGAAAATCTCAAATTCACGTATGAAAGACATGGGTTTCTGCTGTCGCATTCCTTGTGTCAAGCCACTCTTGAACCACAGACAGCGTCAGAAGCGTCTTGCCTGGGCTAAAGAGAAACAGGACTGGACTGCTGGTGAGTGGTCCAAAGTCATGTTCTCTGATGAAAGTAAATTTTGCATTTCCTTTGGAAATCAAGGTCCCAGAGTCTGGAGGAAAAGAAGAGAGGCACTTCATCCACGTTGCTTGAAGTCCAGTGTAAAGTTTCCACAGTCAGTGATGGTTTGGGGTGCCATGTCATCTGCTGGTGTTGGTCCATTGTGTTTTCTGAGGTCCAGGGTCAACGCAGCCACATACCAGGAAGTTTTAGAGCACTTCATGCTTCCTGCAGCTGACCAACTTTTTGGAGATGCAGATTTCATTTTCCAACAGGACTTGGCACCTGCACACAGTGCCAAAGCTACCAGTACCTGGTTGAAGGACCATGGTATCCCTGTTCTTAATTGGCCAGCAAACTTTCCTGACCTTAACCCCATAGAAAATCTATGGGGTATTGTGAAGAAGAAGATGCAATACACCAGACCCAACAATTCAGAAGAGCTAAAAGCCACTATTAGAGCAACCTGGGCTATCATAACACCTGAGCAGTGCCACAGACTGATCGACTCCATGCCACGCCGCATTGCTGCAGTAATACAGGCCAAAGGAGGCCCAACTAAATACTGAGTGCTGTACATGCTCATACTTTTCATGTTCATACTTTTCAGTTGGCCAACATTTCTATAAATCCTTTGTTTTTATTGGTCTTCAGTAATATTCTAATTTTCTGATATGATGAATTTGAGATTTTCATTTGTTGTCATTTGTAATCATCAAAATTAAACAAAATAAACATCTGAAATATATGAGTTTGTATGTAATGTATGAATATAATATACAAGTTTCACTTTTTAAATGGAATTACTGAAATCAATCTACTTTTTCATGATATTCTAATTTTATGACCAGCACCTGTATGTTCCTCTGAGGAAGACTTTGAAATGTTTGTTGGAGTCTGATCTGTGGAAGAAATCAAGGCAGCACACGTCTGAGTCTCCTTCAGACATTTTAAGTGACATTAATGATGGTCAGATATACAAATTCAACAACTTTTTTGTGGAGAATCCATCATGTCTCAAGCTAATACTGTACCAAGATGCATTTGAAGTGGTTAATCCTTTAGGCTCAGCAAAGACGAGACATAAGATATTAGCCGTGTATGTGTCTGTTGCCAACTTGCCACTTCATGTACGGTCTGACACAGACCACATGTCACTGGTTTTATTGTGCAAGGAAAAAGATTTCAAGGAATTTGGGCATTCTAAAGTTCTTTCTGAGTTACTAGAAGACCTGAGGCTGTTGGAGGAAAATGGGATTGTAATGGTTGATGAAACGGTAGTTAAAGGAACTGTATTTTGCATTGCTGGAGATAATCTAGGCTCACATTGCATTGGTGGGTTCTCTGAAAATTTCAGTCGCACACAGCATTTCTGCCACAGCATTTCTGCAGATACTGCTTAATAACCCGATCAGAATTTCAGGGTGAGGACCCAAATGTGTGTGGACCACTCCGCACTATTGAGAGGTACAACTCTGCTCTTGATGAACTCCAGACAGCTGAGGAACCGGACGTAGAAGGTGTAAAGTTCAGGTCAATATTTAATTCTTTGAAATACTTTCATGTCTGTCTTCCAGGTTTACCTCCTTGTCTAGGTCATGACCTCTTTGAGGGAATTGTATCTTATGACCTGGCATTGTACCTGAAATATTTAATTAAGAAAAAGGGATGGTTCACTTACTCCACTTTGAACAGGCGCATTAAACAGTTCAAATATTGTGACTCTGATGCCTCCTCGAAGCTGTGTGAAGTCACTTATAACGCAGCAAAGCTCTCAGGACAGGCTACGCAGAACTGGAACCTTCTAAGGCTGTTGCCCCTCATTATTGGCGACAAAGTACAAGATACAGCAGATGATGTGTGGCAGTTGACTCTCCAGCTGAAAGATACTGTAGAGTTGATATGTGCTCAGAAGATTTCTTTGGCTCAGATTGCATATCTTGACGTTGTTATTCAAGAGTATTTGGAGACAAGAAAAGCGCTTTTCCCACAATGTAATCTAAAACCAAAGCACCATTATTTACGCCACTATCCAGCTCTGATTATAAAATTTGGACCCTTGATTAGACTATGGACAATGCGTTTTGAAAGTAAGCACAGTTATTTCAAGAGGTGTGCTAGACATTTGAAGAATTTCAAAAATCTCTGCCTCACCCTCTCTGAAAGACATCAGATGTTGCAGGCTTATGTTTCAGCAGGCCAAAGCGGTCAGACTATCTTACAGATTAAGTCTGGTTCTCCTTTTTACTCAACATTATACAGTAAATCAATTCAAGATGCAGTTAGGCAGTTTGACTTCACTGAGACCAACACAAATGTCTCATTTGAAATACTCTACAAGGGAACGTCTTACAAAAAAGGCCAATTTCTTGTAACAGGGAGCATGGAGGCAGTGGAGTTTGGTGAACTACAGCTTATATTGATAAATAATGAAACTGTCCATGTACTGGTCTCGGTGTATATAGCAGAATTCCTTCCCGAGTATCACATGTACTTTGTTAGGAAAGATGATGAAAAGATGCAGTGTCTAAACATCTGTGACTTGATAGATTTCTATCCATTACCATCTTACATAAAGAATGGAAACAAAATGGTTCCACTGAAACACAGTGTGCTGTCACATTAAACCGGGGTTTTGAAAAGTTAAGTCCAGGACCCATTTGCAGCCTTTTGACTGTTTTTCTTTTCTTTTATCTTTTGCCAATGACGATAATCCCCTAATGAAACAGTTTTACTAATCCAGCATGACTGATGGAGTCTTTAGTTTTAATTAAGGCAAAATTAATGCAGAAAACATTAACTATTACCACAAAACGTTGCCTACACATTTAAAAGTTTAAAGTATCAAAACTTTTTGCATTCTCTTGTGAGGACCACATGTATCCAGCAAGCCCTGCTGCACCCAGATTTACTTTGAATGAATTTATTCAATTTTGGAGACCTTTAAAATGTCCATAGTGGATCACTTTTTCTCAGTTGAGTAGGAAAAACTGATTAGTTTTTCTTTTTAGCCTCTTTTTTTCTATCACTTTTTTTCTTTGGCCCTTCACTTCTTTCAACTTCAATATTTTGCACCTTAGGACAGAAGGTTTGGACACCGCCATACTAATGATGTTTTGGAAGAAGTCTTAGGTTGTTATTTTTGTGTTAACTGGAGTTCCTTAACTGTTTTGTTCTCAGATATGGATGATGACTCCCAAAGCCTCACACGCAGGGTTATTTATGAGGGGTTGGCAGATCTCCCAGTCTCAACTCTACAGACTTTGGAGGACACACTAGAATCTTTGGGGGTGGAGACCAATGAAGATTTTCAGTATATTAATGAAAATGATCTGAGATCTGTACTAACACCAATTCAAGCAAGGAAGTTACTGAAAGCTTCGAAACAAACCAGTAGGTACATTATTACAGAGATATAGCAGCCTATCTTTACCTTTTGTTCATTACTATATACTTTTTATCATATAGCACAGACCAGTGGAATTTCCAGTGAGCCATCTCTGTCGTTGTCATCTCCTTCTACAACCAGCACATCGTCTGCCTCTTCATTTTCTATACATTCCACGCCAGTAGATTGGGTTGACACTTTTCAAATTCCTTGGAACAGGTTTCCAGAGAACTTGATTGAGTGTTTTAAGAATGAGGCAAGGCCGAAACCCCACCTTCGAAGAGAAATGATTCGGATTGTCGTTTCTTCAATGATGGAGGTGTGTGCTTCTCCTCGCAAGCAAGAAACCACAGAAGTGGCGAAAAAATTGATAGCAAAATATCCACTTTCACTCCAAGATATTATTGAAGGTGATATAGTGGGCCCAGGGTATTATTCACTCGTCAAGCAACTACAAAATCGTATAGAAAATTTGAGACGGGTTTCAAAACCAAAAATAAGGAAGCGTAAAAACATGTTAGATGAAGATGGCACAGTCCCACCAGAGCAAAATGCAGCTGTTCAGGACATTTACGGTTGTATAAAGTGGGACATGGAAGTCATGCCAATCCAGGAGACAGCAGAGACACAGAAAGAGAAAAAAGTCAAATTGAAAATGCTAAGTGAAGAAAATAACTTAAATTCGGACGAGATAAGAGATCTTATGCAGAGAACCTACTACACTCAAAGGAAAGAAATAAACCAGGGAAAAGACCTACAAATTATGGTGAAGGAGTGGCCCTTCCTGTTTCAGGAAATTGGTATGACGATCCACTTCCAGGAGCTTACTGGAGTAAATCTACTAGAGACTTTCCATAAAAATCTAGAAAAAAAGGGTAAAAGACTTCTGGACTACTTAAGGACTGTCTCGGCCCACAAAATTAAACGAGTTCTTCAAACTGTCCGAAACCTGGATATTCTGAGAGGACAGGTCCAGGGCTGCTCTGAAGAGTTGAAAGATCTTGTCCTCCTCCTTCTGTCTCATTTCAATGACAAAGAGGAAACCCTCTTCCACTATGTAGATGAGACATGCCTAGCAGGAGAAGTAAAAGTGGACAACTTGCCTGTCACACCATGCTTGATTGTATGTGGTAAGTAAATATGAATATTCACTGAGTAATTTTAAGAAAGAAATATTACACTGGTTAAAGTTTGTATAAGACTAATTGTTTTCTGGAATATTTTTTGTCAGGAACCTCCTGTTATACTTCCAAGAATTTTATGCTTGGCATTGACGGCAATGTTGTGAATGACCAAATACCAACCTTCACATCCGCTATATGTCTAATGTTAGCAAGTTACTTTTGCTTCAACATTCATTATCCGACTCATCTGGCCTCCACACTTGATTTCATTCAGAGGTAATATTCTTTTGTTTTCCTTCCCTCATTTAGATGAAGTCATATTTCATTACAGTGGTTGATTTTCATGTATTGAATAGGTGCTTCCTAAACATCAATCCAGACCGGGGGACAAAAGTCGAAACCAAGAAGAATAAGAAGAACGTGTCAGTGAACCCAAGGGTCCTTACCCTAATCTCTGAAATCGCAGATCATGAATGGAGAGGGACATATTAAAATGGACATAATAGTCCAGCAGAAATGTAAATTCTGATTTCTTACACACCACTTATAGAGCAGAATACAAATTTCACTGCAAGAATATGGTTTGCAATCTGGATGGATAGAATTTACATTTAGTTTTCATATTTCTTAGTTTTAGGATCTATTGAATTTATTTCAACAGGCTTGCTGTATGTTTTGCGGTAATTATAAATGCCTGAATATGTAGACAAGTTCAAGACAACAGCTACTTTTTTTTCCATCATTGTGAGAGGCTGTTCCTTTAGTTCAGTAAAATGAGAGAAGAGTGACTTGTATTATTTATTTTAAAATTGTAGATTCATTTAATTTAGATGCTCCATTAATATCTCAGCCAGGACTGCAACTAATGATTCTTTTGGCTATCAATAAATATGACAATCATTGAAACCCATACAAAATTGCACTGTAAGTCAGTAATTGTAAAATGCCAGCAGTTACTGACTAGAATATTCACAGCATTATACTGCCGTAGAAAATACATGGCATTATCATAACTGAATAAATATATATCCTAAATAATTGTGACAGTCACGAATGTAGAAAATACAGAAATATAGTGTAAAAATATAAGTAATTGTAAAGTTCTTAAAAAATTGTAATATTGCCAGCAGTTAATTACCCTAAACTTAACAGTAGCAATCAGCCAAAATTACAAATTTTGCTGATGTTTAGATCTACAATGTAAAAGCGTAAACAAGACTGCAAAAGAATTTTTTACAAAGAACAGAATGCTGGTGTGATATTCTGGTTTCTTTTTTAATAATGCCTTTAATACACCAAACTGAAATCTCAGCAGTAGACCAGGCATCGATCTGGCGATCCACTGATTGCAAAGCAAACTCCTACAGCCAACGCCACCATCACTTATGAGAGTATTTGATCATTAACATTAAGAGAACTGTATGTTAGCCCCTCTTGCTTGAATGAAGCTGAAGTTGGTTTCCAATTGCTGCTTCCAATTTGGGAAATGGCTAAAGGGCAATTCCACCTAATTTTTCACTACAATCAGCATCTTTAATTTACTCTAGCTAAAAAACTACAACACCTAGACTCTTCAAATCTGGACTAGATTATTCTCAACTCATATTAGAATATTTAAAACCAAGTGTGGGGTTTGTAAAACCTTTATCTGATTTGTGAAACTTCAATAAAGAACAATTCTAGTGTTATCCAAAATCATACAAGTTGTAAAGTCACCCATCATTGAAGTTTCACAAATCCCACACTTGGTTTTAAATATTGCGCTATTAGTAGAGAATAGTCTAGAGCAGGGGTCCCCAAACCTTTTCCTGCGAGGGCCACATAGCTGTTCCTTTCTCTGCTTGGGGGCCGGTCTTAGTTTTTGGAGAAAGATACCTTAGAAACTTATTGTCGGCGGGGGGGGGGGGGGTGCTGTTCTGTCTTTGAAACTGTCGACGGGGGTGGGGGGGGTGGGGCGGTGGTATTGCTGACTACGACACATTCGCGGTCGCTTTTAGATCGAAAGTTACTACCGTAACTACGGTTCTATGAATCCCGGATGACCGCCAGAGGCGGTGCTTCAAGCACTGAATGATCATTCTTGCGCATGCGCAGGTCGAGTATTAATGACAACAAAGTCAGCTGTGACCTGCCGGGGACCCACGTGACTCTATATAGTCACGTGGCACCCGGCAATCAATCCCTCAATCTTCTCGCGAAAGCAGAGATTCCGAGGGACCAAGCACTCTGGCGGTCATCCGGGATTCATAGAACCGTAGTTACGGTAGTAACTTTCGTTCTATTTCATCCCTACTGACCGCCAGAGGCGGTGCTTCAAGCACTGGATGACTCATATCAACAAGGTCACGAGGAATCAGCAACATTCAAGGAACAACGACTACACCACCCACCTAATGTGATGTAGAGGCATGCTGCTCGAGGATTCCCTGAAGCGGATGGGGCGCAGCCACATTCACCCTGTAGAACCGAGTAAAGGTACTAGGTGACTTCCAGGAGGCCGCACGACATATAACATCCAATGGCACCCCAGTCATAGCAGCAAACGATGTCGACATGCCCCTTGTAGAGTGGCATTTCACTCCCGCCGGCAGTGGCCGGTCCTGCAAGGCATAAGCCTTGGAGATCAAATCCACAACCCAGTGTGCAAGTCGCTGCTTAGAAAGTGCCTGACATTTCCGTGAGCCAGCGTAGCAAACAAAAAGGCTATTTGTCTTTCGGAAGGATGCCGTGGCATTGATGTATGTCTCAAGGGCACGGACAGGACACAGTGGTTCAGAGGGACTTCCGGAGTCAAACCGGGCAAGATGGAGAGGCTGGGTGCTGCCTGCTGGCAGTGATACCTTAGGAATAAATGCTACATCAGCCCACAGTGTAACGCCTGAGCCATCAGGATTCCACCGGCAGCAGGGTTCGGCTATCGAGAGAGCCTGTAACTCCCCTACACGTTTTGCGGAAACCATAGCTAAAAGGAACGCAGTCTTCAGTGAGAGCCATTTGAGGTCCGCCGACGCCAGGGGCTCAAATGGGAGGGACCGAAGAGCCTCAAGCACAAGAGAAAGGTCCCACGCCGGTGCCACAGGGCGGTTGGGTGGGTGCAAACGCCGAGCACCTCTTAAAAACAGTACAACATCCTTGTCTCGGCCCACAGAACAACCATTCAGCCCAACATGCCAACAGGAAATGGCAGCCACATACACCTTTAAGGTAGATGGGGACCGTCCTTGATCCAGCAATGCCTGCAGGAAGGTCAGTATGTCAGAAACTGAGCACTGCACCGGGTCCTGCCCTCTATCACGGCACCAGGTCGCAAAGACCGTCCACTTGTTAGCATAGACAGCTCGCGTGGACGGCGCCCATGCATTAGCCATTGTATGCCCTATGGACCCAGTGTATCTTGAGAAGGTGGACCCCGGCCTTGCAGGGGCCAAATCCAGAGCTGGAGCCGGTCCGGTTCGGGGTGCAAGATCTGACCCCCCATCTGGGAAAGAAGGTCTCTCCTGGAGGGGAGACGCATTGGCGAGCCGGAGCTGAGCTCGCACAGTAGAGGAAACCAAGTCCTCGCTGGCCAGTAGGGGGCCACCAGCAGGACCCTGTGCCCCTCCTGACGTACCCTGAGGAGAGTCTGAAAAAGTAGGCTGAATGGCGGAAAGGCATAAAGGAGGGTCCTGGGCCAGTCGTGTGCCAGAGCATCGTGGCCCAGAGGGCTGCTGTTGTCCAACGAGAACCAAAGGGGACAGTGAAATGCGTCCCTTGAGGCAAAGAGGTCCACGTCCGCCCTGCCAAAGACCTTCCAGATGCACTCCACCACCTCTTGGTGAAGCTTCCACTCCCCTGGAAGCGGCTTCTGACGGGATAGAAAATCTGCTGGCACGTTCTCCGGCCCTGGGATGTAGGCTGCTCTGAGGCTGGCTATGCGTGGAGCTGCCCAGGTCAGAAGCCGTTGAGTCAAGCACAACAGTTTCCTTGACCTCGTGCCCCCCTGGTGGTTGATGTGAAAGACCACTGTGGTGTTGTCTGACCTCACCAGCACGTGCTTCCCCCGCAAGCCTGGAAGAAAGCTCTGAAGAGCCAGAAGCACAGCCTGTAACTCCAGGACATTGATGTGTTCCCTGCCCTGCCGCTGGGACCATGTCCCCTGTGCCATTTGACCCCGCCAGGTTGCACCCCAGCCCGTGGAGGATGCATCTGTAAACACAACTTCCCGACGACACGGGAGGGAACCGAGCGGGACCCCTGTGGTCATAAACAACCTCACCCTCCATTGGGACAGAGACTGAAGACACTGAGGCCCCACCCGAAGTCTTCGGAGACGATGAGTGTTCCGTGTGGGATCCAGATTCAAGCTGTTCAACCACATCTGGAGGGGCCGCAATGACAGCAGCCCCAAGGGCACTACGGCGGACGCAGCTGTAAGCATGCCCAAGAGTCGAAGATACCGCACAAGAGGCAGCGCCATGCCGCGCCTGAATTCCGGGAGCACGCTCAATATACTGTCCACCCGCTGGGGTGACGGGCAAGCAGTCATTGAGATGGAATCCATGGCAATGCCCAGGAAGACAGTCTCCTGTGAGGGGGTCAGACTGCTTTTCTCCATGTTCACCTGCAAGCCCAAGCATCCCACATGATGGAGCACTAACCGAGTATCTCGAACCGCCTGGTCCCACGTCGCGGCACAAATGAGCCAGTCGTCCAGATATGGGAGGATCCTCAATCCCTGTGCCTGCAGAGGAGAGAGGGCCGCTGCAACACATCGGGTGAACACCCTGGGGGACAGTGAAAGTCCGAACGGGAGGACCCTGAACTGGAAATGCCTCCCTTGAAAAGCAAAACGAAGAAACCGCCAATGGGGCGGAGCGATCGGAACGTGAAAATAAGCATCCCTGAGATCTATGGAAGTGAACCCAAACGGGCCCGGGGGAAAACGCCTGCAACACTTCCCTTGGGGGTCAGCAAAATTAAAGGGGGATGGCCTTCAAATACCATTCAAAGGCCCCCTAGGTCCAAAGACTGGAAGCAGGCCCCCGGGCTTCTTCGGAAAACCCGAAAAAACGTGGAATAAAAAACCCCTTTGGTCCAGCAGGGGGTCCACAGGCACTATAGCCCAAAAAAAAAAAACCCCTTTGGGCCCGCAAGGGGCAGATTTCTTGGTTTTATGCCTTTTCCTTCCCCCGGGGCGTTGGGTCACATTCATCCTGACCCGGCCAGGGAAAGGTGGCCGGGGGGCGGAATTTAAGACGGGGACCCCCGGGACAGGGTGGACAACACCCACAATCCGGGGTTTTTGGGGACCCAGAACCCGAGCCCGCCCCGGGGGAAAAAAAACCCCACCCCCCGGGCCCCAAGGCAAACATCTGCGGTCCCCCGGGCCCCTTTGAAAGGGCCCCGGAAGGGGCGCCGGGGCCCGACTGCGCGGGTCGAAAGGGGTGAAAAGGGCCCCCGTCCCCGCCCGGGCCCCGAGCTCTGTTCCTCCGAATTTTTAAGCAGGCCCCGGGCCATCTCTTTACCTGGTAACAGACCCTGGGGCTCAGTGGGAAGGAACACAAAACCTCCTTAAAAGGCCCCCCTCCCGGGGGGGGGGGGTGGGGGGGGCTTACTGGCTTGGGGATCACGTTTTTTGAAGCCCTTCCAGCTTTTTGCCTCGTTCTAGAGGCCTGAGCCGAAAGGTTCCCCAAGGGGGGTCCCCGTGCCGCTGAAACCCAAAAAACTCCCCCCGGGGCCACGGCAGGGGCCCCGGGGGGTCCTCCTACAAAAGGGGTCAGTTAGTGGTGACTGCGCCCAAAAGACCTGCGGGGAGCATGAATAGTGTGGAGATTTTGCGTCCAATTTTCCCCCGTCATAAGAAAAGGCCCGCCCAAAATGCATCAACCAGGCCTTGCCCTTGGGAAAGATCCACGGAACCCGATTCCAAGGGG